GGCCTTGTTCCCTTTGGTACACGGTGGTGGCCACACCACAAACGCGGTTGGTGTGATCTCGCAAGACTACAAGCTCATTTAATGTACAATAATGGTGCGTGCAAGCACCGAGTGGTAAAAGGTATGCAAACCTCACTAAACACTAGGCCTAAATCTAGAGCAAGCGCATAAGCGGTGGTCTAATCAATCTAAGCACTTCGCAAAGCACCTACACTAATCACCTAATAAATCACTAAGCACTGTGTAAGTGGAGATCACTAAAATGATGTATCAACACCTTTGGTATGTTTCCTCAGCTCCACACTTCTTAAATGGTCGGTTGGGAGGTCTATTTATAAGCTCCACTGAGAAAGTAGCCGTTGGGGGTGAAACCCAGCTTTCTGCTACTGACCAGATGCTGATCACGTCCTGACCGGATGCGTCCAGTCGTCCCGACCGTTGGAGCACGCGCGTTGATCGGACTTAGCTCAGAGTCCGGTCATCATCGACCAGACGTGTCTGGTCACGCTGGCACCGCTTTGGAACCTTTCTAGAAATGATCGGACGCTGCACCTCGTGCATCCGGTCGTCCAGTCTGCTACGTTCGGTCACGCTGAAAACACTGTCGTGATGATGAACAGTGTCACCGGTGCGTCCGGTCACTGTTTCACTCAGCGTCCGATCACTACTGCTCAGCGTCCAGTCACAGCTGTCGATGCCTGTTGTTGCCTGGCACCGGTGAAAGCTTTAGTTTGATTTTGGTAAATTGATGAAACCCTAAGTGCTAACCTAGTTTATCAAGTGATCATGATATAGGTAGCACATTTCAAGTAGTGAAGCAAATGAAGATCATGACATGATGATGGTGATGCCATGATGATGATCAAGTGCTTAGACTTGAAAAAAAGAAAGAGAAAAACAAAAGGCTCAAGGCAAAGGTATAAATGGTAGGAGCTATTTTGTTTTTGTGATCGAGACACTTAGTGAGTGTGATCACATTTAGGATCGATAGCCGTACTATTAAGAGGGGTGAAATTCGTATCAGAATACGGTTATCAAAGTGCCACTAGGTGCTCTAACTCATTGTATATGCATTTAGGATCTAGTGGAGTGCTAACACCCTTGAAAATGTTTGTGAAGATATGCTAACACATGTGCACAAGGTGATACACTTGGTGGTTGGCACATTTGATAAAGGGTGATGAAGTTTGGGTGCAAGGGTAAGAAACTCCACCGGCGCCCTAGACAGAAAAGACAGAGGTCGTTGGAAGTGACTGGACGCTGGCCTCGGTTGGACCGACGCGTCTGGTCAGTAGCAGCAGTAAGCGCGAGGTCTCGGTCTTCGACTAAATGCTGGCGCTAAAAATGATCGGACGCTGGCTGGATGCGTCCAGTCAGTGCTGACGTACGCTGACGTGGGGCACACAGAGGAGACGTGAGTGACCCGACGCTGGGTGAGTCAGGTCGGGCATGACCGGACGCGTCCGGTCGTGAAAATTCACATTTGGAACCTTACTGGAAATGACCGGACGCTGAGCTCCAACGTCCGGTCACTTTCTAACTGACGCGTCCGGTCATCTCTTGATCGTTGCGATCGGGCGATCTGCATTTGAAGCCAATGACACGTGGCATGCATCGGGCGACCGGACGCTGAGGTCCAGCGCCCGGTCACCCCGCGTTCAGCCCAGTGAAGGGGTACAACGGCTCTATTTCGTGGGGGCTTCTATTTAAGCCCCATGGCCGGCTCAAGATCATTCTCTTGGCCATTTGCATTGACATAGCAACCTTGTGAGCTTAGCCAAAGCCCTCCCACTTATCTCCATCATTGATTCATCATCTTTGTGAGATTGGGAGAGAATCCAAGTGCATTGCTTCAGTGTTTGCATCTAGAGGCACTTGGTGTTCGTGTTTCGCTGTGGGATTCGCTTGTTACTTTTGGTGGTTGCCGCCACCTAGACGGCTTGGAGCAGCGAGGATCGTTGAGCGGAGGGTGGTGATTGTCTCCGGCTCCGATCGTGGTGATTGTGAGGGGTTCTTGACCTTTCCCCGGCAGAGAGCCAAAAGGTACTCTATTGGATTGCTCGTGGCTTGTGTGATTCTCATCTTGTGTTGGTTGTGCGGCACTCTATTGAGGGTTTGGCGTGTGAAGCCAATTAGTGCATGAACCTCCAAGTGCGTGAATCGCCACGACGAGGACTAACTTGCCGGCAAGCAAGTGAACCTCGGTAAAAAATCATTGTGTTCATCATTTGATTCTGAGGTGATTGGTCTTCATTGTTATTCATCCTTGTGATTGATTGGATCCTTCCTCGAAAAGGCGGTATAACCCTCTTGATCACTCTCTTAACATTTACCGCAAACTAGTTGTCAAGCTTTTTAGTGTAGCTAGTCGTGAGAGCTTGTTTGCTTGGTTGGTGTGGCTCTTTAGTTAGCATTTGAGAGCACACTAACATAGGGTAATGTCATAGTTATTGTGTGGATATATACTATCCAACTAGAATTGTGGTAGGTGGCTTGTATTTTGAGTAGGCTAGTGCAACACTTGCTTCGCTTTATAATTGTCTAACCATTTTGTTAAGTGTTGTTGTAGAAATTTTATAGGCTATTCACCCCCTTCTAGCCATTAGGATCTTTCAACCGGTGCTTTCGGTCATCCGTAGGGCTACGTCTGGTCATCTCTACAGGGCTCATTTCTTCGTGATCTTGTGTCCGGCTTGGTTCCAATCTTCATGCTTAAACTTTGCTTGATCTTGTATGTCTTCTATGCATCTTGACATGTCTTTCTTGAGGTGTTGATCATCGGATTATCACGTCGTTTTCGTCCAAGACATATTTTGTATCCCATTGAACTACAAAATAATCACTTGTAAATCCATTAGTCCAATTTAGTTGTGTTGGTCATCAAACATCAAAATCCAAAGTAAATGGGTATAGGGTCCATTTTCCTTACATTGGCTTTACTCAAATTTGAAAGTGCATATAACACATAAATATATATATATATATAAGTTGTTCTGTAGCTGACCATAAAATAAGTTATTCTGCAGCTACCTCCATTTACGATAATTTTATATACCTGCAGCTGGCCATAAAATAAGTTATTCTGCAGCCACCTCCATTTACGATAATTTTATATACTAATTTACGATAAAGTGAATACATATTTACGACAGTTGTGTTACTATAACACATGAGAATATTTAGCATAACGTTATAGTAAATCACATAGTAAGGAGTTACTATAATCTCATGATTTAGCATAGTAATTATCGTAACTCAAAATGGCCACAGAATAAATTATTTTATAGCCAGCTATAGAACAGTAGTTATATATATATATAATGATAAATTGCAACTTCGGTGTTTGGTCATCCCAAGAGTTTTTTTTGTCCTACTGGTTTCTTCTTGTTTTTTTATCTATGCCATTACAATTCTTTAAGTTTTAAGTTACGCCATTATAATTCATCTATTCCGAGATCTGTCATTATAATTTCATCTCCCCCTCAACCATGTCATCTTCTACGGTTGCCGTACACAAGGGCCCAATGTCAGACGTGTATGTGTACATGGACACCAACGTACATTAACTCTCCGCCTCCTCCGTTAGACTTATACCACCGTTGCTCTCTCTCTTTCTCCCGTCAACCCCACTCCCTATCACTTTATGTGTGGGCTCCACATGTCATCTTCTTCTTCCCCTTATCATCCGTTGCTGAACTGTGGGAGGCGCGAGCAGCTGAGGAAGGGGAACGGTGACGGGAGACGCAAGCAGCTCACCACCGACGAGCTCTTCTCCATCCACCTTGGCCTCCCCATCTTCTTTCTCTCAAGAACCTCGCCCGCTTCGCTTGCGTGGTCGCATGACGCAAGATCGGCTTGCCGCAAGACCCCGCACACAATGCTCGTGCTTTCGCCCGGTCGAGGCTGCACATGCTGCTTCGTGCTTGCGCTCCCGTGTGGCCCATGTGGCAGCGTGGCAATGGTGGCCAACGACCTAGATCTGGGCGGCCGAAGCTCGGGCGCCTGCCTACCATTGTTGAAGTTGGTCCTCTATTCCCCTCGCAGGATCCGGTCGCACACAGTTGAACTCGCGTGGGCTCCGTGCGCTGGCCGTCCGTCCATCGCCGCCGTGCTCCACATCGCCGCCGAAGCTAGGCGCCACTACCGCCGCCAGAGTAAGCAAGCTAGCCGCCGGGTACGCTGGGTGTGCAAGCAACCACCGCCCGCCACAGTGCAGGCCTTGCGGCAAAGAATGCCGCCCACGCTTGTGGTGAGGAGCGCAAGGACCGGTTCTGGGTGGTGACGACTGCGACGATGAGTGCTCCCATCGATGACAACTGCTGCAGTCACATGGGAAGATGGGAGGAAGAAGAAGATGACATGTGGAACCCACATGCCAGTGACAGGGAGAGGGGGGCTGGCAAGAGAAAGAGAGAGAGAGCGGACGGGAGAAAGAGAGAGGGATGACGGCCTAACGTACATTGGAGCTCCTGTACGTATACGCGTTCGACAGTGGGTCTTTGTACGCTGTAATCATAGAAAATGGTATAGTTGAGGAGAATATGAAATTATAATGACAATCGAAATAGACGAATTGTAACGGTGTATCTCAAAAGTTGAAAAATAGTAATGCTCTTAATAAAAAAAACCTTTTGTCCGCTCGCTTGTTGTCTGCAATGTTGCATCAAAATCTGCCACATGCGTTCCTTCACAAGTCCCCAATCACCTTTCCTTCCCCACCTTCGCATTTCGTTCGCCGCCAGCAACGCCGGCACACAACAAGCGAGACCCCGACCTCCGTCCCCTTCCTCCTCCGTTCCGCTAGCAGCACTGGGGCGGAGCGGAGATCCACTCATCCGGACGTAGACTGGTTCCCTTCTCCTTGTGGTGGTAAGGTATAAGCAACCCTAGCTTACTCGGATTCAATCCCTTCCACGCCGCTTGGTGCCCTACTGATGCAATCCATCCATCCATGCTTCGATTTGGTAGAGTTCAGTACCGGACTCGGGTGCCCCTTCCCCATGTCGCACGTCGAGCCCACCGCCGTCGGCGCGGACCAGGTCGGCGAGGGGGCGGTCGTGCCGCACGGCGACGGTGTCGGTGGCAGCGGGGGTGACGTAGCCACCGCGGAAGCGCAAGTGGCTGTTGCCGTTTCCACCTCCGGCGACGAGAGGCGGGGCGATTACGGCGACGATGCAGAGAACGAGGAGGAGGAGGCCGCAACGGTGCAGGGCAGCAAGGAGGGCACGGAAGAGCTGCTCCGGAAGGTGGTGTACAGCGAAGAGGCCGCCTACAAGCTCTACTGCGATTACGGCCACCGCATGGGGTTCAGCATCCGGAAAGGGAAGCAGTCCTACTTCACAGGCACCAAGCGGATACGCACCAAGGACTACTTCTGCTCCAAGGAGGGGCTCAAGGAAGGGGAGAAGCTCACCGATACAAATTTCAACGACCCCCACACCAGGACCAATTGCAGGGCCATGGTGCGGTTTAGGGTGAATGATCAGGGGGAGTGGAAGGTTATCCGACTGGTATCTGATCATAACCACAACCTGGCAAGGCCTGAGGAACGACACCTTTTGCGTTCTGCAAGGTCACTTATAGCAGGGCGGTCGAGTTCTGTGGAGGTGATGTTGTATGAGGGTTATCAGGTGCAACCACAATTGCCTGCGGGGAGTACTAGTGCAACCAACAATGTGGAGAATCCGAAGCAAGATTTGCTCCTCGGCTATGGTGCTACAGCGAAGACGCTGACTGTAGGGACTGGGGACGTGCAGAGCCTTGTGAGCCACCTGAAAAGCAGAGCAAATGAAGATGGCATGTTCTACTGGGATGTTCAATTGGACAGAGGTGGTCGGATGACTAATTTCTTTTGGCGAGATGGGAGGAGCAGAACTGACTATGACTGTTTCGGTGATGTGGTCGTGTTTGATTCAACTTATCGCTTGAGCAAACAGAACCTGATATTTGCACCTTTTGTTGGCGTCAACCATCATTGGCAGACCACTATGTATGGTTGCGCGCTCTTAGCTGACGAGTCTACTTCATCTTTTGTGTGGCTGTTCAAGTCTTTCTTGGAGTCCATGGGGAACCGGCATCCACAATCTATTTTCACAAATCTAGATCAAGTTGTGTCAAAAGCAGTTGAGGAGGTTTTCCCAAGTGCATGTCATCGCATTGCTCATTGGCACATCCAAAAGAATGCTCAATCTCGGCTTGGTGCTCTTAATGTTTCAAAACCGTTCAATAAGATGTTCACCAAGTGCATACAGGGATGTGACTCGGAAACAGAGTTTGAGGAAGCATGGGCTCAAATGCTCTGTGAATTTAAGTTGCAGGATAACAAGTGGCTTAAAAAACTGTATAAGCTCAAACAGAAGTGGTGTAGTGCTCTTAACAAGTGCACCTTTGATGGTGGGATTGAGTATGAACCACAATGTGACAATATGAGCAACATATTTAATAATGTTTCTGATAAGTTGACTTCTCTTTGTGCAATTGCTGTTGCTGTGGATAAACAGACTGAAGATTGGAGGGAAAAAGAATTGGATGAGGATGCACGGTGTTTGCAGAAGCCACCTGCTTGTATCATCAAACACAGTGATATTTTGAATCATGCAGCCAAGGTTTATACACATAGAATCTACAAACTGTTTGAGACAGATTTTCTGGACGGGTGTGGTGCCACAAAATTCAAGGAGCTTCCATGTCAAGATAACAACACATATCAATTTGAGATGACCATGCAAGGGCGAGGATCAAGAGTTTGCACAGTTCATTTCAATATGCCTACAATGCGATTAAGTTGCAGCTGCAGTAAGTTTGAGACAATGGGTTTACTCTGCCCACATGCTCTGAAAGCTCTTAGCATCAAGAATATATGCAAAATTCCAGAAAGTTGCATACTGAAGCGGTGGACCAAGGATGCGAAGAAATGGGTTTTCAACCCAAAACAATATGAATCATCATATCAGGAATGTATGAATGATGAAGCTGCATACTGCAACTATGTTATGAGGTATGCTTATGATCTTGTCACGAAGAGCCAAGGGCAGGAGGCATTAAGGAAAGTGCTGTGGGAGACTCTTGAGAGTGGTGAGAAAGAATTGGAGGGATACCTAGAAAACGTTACCCAACATGCACCTTCTTATGCCACTTGAAAGAATCACTAATTAACCTCCTGGACTTATCTGCTGAGGATGAACAAGATACTTCCTTGTTCTTTGGGAGATGCATTCAGAACGTCTCTCAAACTGTACTCTTAAGAGATGAAAACGGATGCTTGTCAAAGATACAAGCTTGAGTAAGTTTCATGCTTTCAACTTTCCTAGTAATTGTTCTTGTGATTCCCTTGAATTTTACCTGATATTCCAGTCTTTGGTGCCACATCTTTGTCAATAACTATGAATCAGTTATTATATCTGTTAAACTGTTGCAATATGATGAAAATGCACTAGTATTTTCTATTAGGTATTTACTTTGTGTGATTTGTTTTGGTTAATTGATCAGTTTAGATCTACAAGGATTTGCCACTTTGTGATATATAAGCTTAAGATGAATCTGTGTGAGTTTAGGTCGTTGTAGTTTGGATATATCTACAATTCTACATTTCCAAAAGCCCCATTTTGACTCTCGCTCTGTCAGAAGTAGAAAGACAACTGTTCTTTTTGGCAAGTTGCCAGCAGAAAAAGTTGTTAATTCGTTAGCTCCCAATGCACCTATCTCTGATTCCCGTCTCTGATTTAATATGTGAATTCAGTACTAGGAGCTGGCACATGCTTATATACACTGATAACTAAATCAAAATTGGGCCCTATAATATAACATACTGAGAACAGGTATCCCAGTATTTGTCTAAAATATACACTCCCTAAATTTCAAATTATAAGACATTTTGGCTTTTCTAGATACATTGATTTTACTATGCACTTATATATACACTATGTCTAGATACATAATAAAAGCAATGTATCTAAAAAAGCTAAAACGTCTTATAGATTGGAATGGAGGGAATATTGTGTTATGTAGGGCAGGCAACCTGTGCTAATCCAGTTTGAGAATCCACACTGGAAAAGATTCTACATTTATGCTGTTCCACATTTGGCTCAGAATTCTGTCCTAACACACCCATATAAATTGGGCACACACATTCATTCTTTTCATGAATGTATTAATGTGTAGCAAAATGAGCACCTGGCATGCTTATATTTATTGTGGTTATTGTGGTATGCAAAATAAAATTCAACTAACAAAGGTTTTCACTTGTATAAAGAGTGTTATTGAAGTGAAGTTTCTCCATGAGTCAAGCATGAACAACTGCAACAACTTGTGGCAAAGAATGTCTTGTTTCTATAGCTTCAAATGTACAGCATAGATAATCATGAAAGCAGAAAAGATTCCAGATTCCAAAAAAAAAAACACTCTACTTTCCTCCATAAACAGGTGCTTCATTGCATACAATTTTGTCTCATCAATTGATAGCAGTTAGCAAACAAATGCACTTTGTGTTTTTTTTCCTTTTAACCTTACAAGAACTATGCTCAAACATTCTGTGTGACTCCTACAGCGACGCCACTATGTCTGCTCTCATCATGGTGGGTTACGTCGTTGAGCTCAGCTTCTGCCCATATAGCATAGGCCTCCTCACCATGTACAGCATCATCCCCGATAAGCAGCTGTGCATCAGAAATTCGGAGGGGCAGAACTAGGCCAATAAGAACACAGATTATGGAAGTGATAACAATGTTCCAGGCAATGACGAAGAGTGCGCCAGCAATCTGCTTCCCAAACTGTGATCCACCATCACCACCATAAAATGCACCTCTGGAGTCCGGGATGGAGAGGAAGAGGCTGCAGAGGACGGGCTCAGCAAAAAGTCCAGTAGTGGCGCCGCCGAGGAACCCAGCCACCGCGTGGGTGTGGAATACGCCAAGGGTGTCGTCGATCCTCTGCATGAAGGACCATTTCTTGTGCAGTACCATCATAGTGTACCAGGGGATGCTACCTGAGAGAATTCCCATCACAATAGCTGCCCACCCTTGCACCAGGCCTATTGAATGAAAGATATTTGTTAGTTAATCAATTAAAATGGAGAATGAACTATGGAGACTGTTTGGTGTACTGGTTTGTTATTTGGGCCTGGTTTACTACATTGTTATAACATGTACTATTTCTTTTGTCAGTTTGCCTATTATCTTGTGGTCTTATTTTTGTTCACTTCCATGAAATGTCATTCGCATACAGATAAATTTTCGGTTCTGGAATGTTTCTTTTAAAATGTGGGCACTCCACACACAAGCTAGAAATATCTCCTAACATGGCAAGGAAGGTTGCCATCTATTGACGCAAAAATATTCTGGAAGGGCATGCCATTGTCAGAACCTGTTTCTGTCAGTCAAATATATTTTCCGTTGAGATGCTTGTGCTAAGAAAATGACACAGAAAAGAAATTTCAGGCCAATGGGGAGGCAAAGGGAAGCTGGTTCTGATTGGGACAAAATAGGGGTTTTTTCTGATAAAATACCAATATGTAGTGTTAGCCTGTGAAGGGCCGGCCATTAGTTCTGAAAATCCAGGTCAACCAACGCCCATTGCTGCTTGCTTAGCAGCAAGAGTGTCACCTCACAGAAGACAAGATCCCAAATTAAATACTTGCACGCCCCAATTAGATCATCACAAGTTGTGGCATGTTAGTGGATCAAGTTATCTTAAAGTCTCTTTAGGCGGCTGCAGAATGGATCTGAGAGCCCTGAATGCAGATGCTTTGATTCTTTGCTGACTTTGTGAGATATTGGCCTATAGCTGAAGGTGGTTTCACTTGTTTTCCTTAGTTTATTTACTTTCCACTTTTCCAGGGAAAAAAAAACAATACAAGTTGCAAAACTTTAATTGGTGGTAGGTTTTGACTGAACGTGTCTGTTTGGCGTCTGCCAATGGAGCATGCAAGCGAAAGGCGGCTACTCTCACCCTGTTCACTTTCACAACAAAACAGCAGCAGTCGACTTATAAGCCACATAAACGATCTAAGCGAACAGGTGTCTACTCACCTGCACCAGGGGTGATGCATACAAGGCCGGTGATCATGCCCTGCACAGCACCGATCACCGACGGCTTCCCGAAGAAGAAGACGTCAAGGAGCGTCCACATGAGGAGGCTGGTGGACGCGCAGATATGCGTGTTGAGCACCGCCATGGACGAGTCGATGTTGGCCGAGTAGGGGTCGCCGCCGTTGAAGCCTGTCCATCCAAGCCACAGCAGGCCCGCCCCCGCCAGCACCAGCAGTATGTTGTTGGGAGGGAACCGCTCCCTGTCCGACGCCGACCTCGGCCCCACCCAGTACGCGGCGGTGAGGCCGGCGATCCCCGAGGAGAGGTGGATGACGTAGCCGCCGGAGTAGTCGATGACGCCCCACTGGAAGAGGAACCCGCCTCCCCAGAGCGAGAAGGCGCAGACGGTGTAGGAGAAGGTGATCCAGAGCGGCACGAACGCCATCCACGCCTTGATGTTCATGCGCGCCAGCAGCGAGCCCGCGAGGATTATGACGGTGATGCTGGCGAACATGCACTGGAAGTAGACCATGGTGGCGGCCGGGTACAGCGGGCGGAGCATCTCCGCCTCGGTGGACCCGTCGCGGTACAGCACGGCGGTGGCCGTGAGCTGCGACTGCGCCACCAGGAAGCTCTGCCCGAGCGCCGGCCTGGCTTTGCCCCAGAAGGGCAGCAGCCTGTCGCCGAACGACATGTTGTACGCCCACACCACCCAGCAGATCCAGACGGCGGCGAAGGCGTACAGCGCCATGAAGGCCGAGTTGATGGCCCACTTCTTCTTCACGATGCTGCCGTACAGGATCACCAGCCCCGGCATGCTCTGCAGGCCCACCAGCGTCGCCGAGGTCATCTGCCACGCATTGTCGCCCTTGTTCAGCCACTCCGGCGACGACGACGAGCTCTGGTACGCGAGCGGTACCACACCTGCTGCCATGGCTCTGGCTGGGGCACTCGATCGTAAGATTGGTAGGTGGAGAGGGCAGAAAGCAGGAGGAAGAAGAGGTGAGCTGCACTGAAGTTCGCTAGAAAAGCTTTTAAGGCTTGTCTCTGTCTCTGAAATCCTACCTCGCTACAAAAACCCAAGTTGAAGGTCACACACAGCCTTAAACCATGGAAAAGCAGGCAAGATTAGTATTAGCACACTGATGAAATGAACCTGTACTTGCCCAAGTATAATATCGCTATCTCTGCTCTGCATCGCTCTGTGTGTGAAGTGAACTAGTTGTATTACTACTCCGATACGATTGGTCCTAGGAATCTTCGTAAGGGCACGTTGATGAATAGACTAGTGTGAAAACCAATGTCCTGTTAGTTTGGTTAATAAGTTATGACTGAAAATATTGTTGATTGATTTATTATAAGAAAAAAATATTATTTGTTGATTAAAAAATTATGGATTATAATCGAAGCGAACAGCGTCGTCTTGGGTTCCTTGTCACGGCACAGTGCTTGTCACGGCAAAGCACGAGCATCTTTTTGTACTACTATTTGCATTATGATACATGATAGTACTACTAGTTGTGAGCTGGAGCGGCGACTTGGCTCCATCAGCGATGCAATGCTCATCAAGAGGAACAAGGTTAGGAGCTGGGAGTCTGCACGCTGGTTGTTGTCCTGCAGAATAAATTAGAGTGAGAATTATGTATTTGGCACTCAAACAAACTAGTCTTTCGTATTTAGCACTTAAAAAATTAAACTTTCTTATCTGGCACCAAGTTTAAATTTTCTTCGTTGTATGGCACTACCGTCCATTTCATCTATTCATATGCTAGTTGACTATTTTGACCGTGTTAGTTTTTTCTAGTGTGATCAACATACCCTATGTTACTCACGCATCCAATTTCTCCCTGGACTTCCCGAGCGGCCGAGCGCTCCTGTCTCCCGTGAGTCCGTGACCTTCTTCTCCAAAAAAAAACACCAAGCCCTAGATTGATGGAAGGAAGAGGAGAGGATGATGGAGTAGAGGATGTTGCAGTCGGCAGCGCCCAGCACCAGCTGCGCGTGCCCTCTGCGCGGGGCGACCCACTCGGCGGAGCCAAGCCGTGGCGCTTGATCATGGCGGGGGGCCGACACTGACAGCCAGCCAGTGGCGTGGTGGAGGCGGGCGCTGCCCCTCCGGCTAGCCAAAGAACGTGGCAGAGGCGGTGGGCTGGCGGCTCTGGCAAGACTGAGCCACAGGCGACCTCCCGAGCAGATCAGGAGGATTGTGGGGGCATGTTCTTGGATCTGGAATGGGATAGAGTTTTCTTGCACTTGTTATTCTGAGATTTGCAATGCTTTTTTTTTGCGCTAACCCCGGCTACATATCCAAAAGCTTGGGAAGACAAGTAGTCCTTATTGAATACTCCCTCCGTCCCTAAATGTTCATCGTTTTCACTTCTCGAAAAACAATTTTGACTATATATATATTAAAAAAATATTAATAGTTATGATACATAATTAGTATCATTGGATATATATTTAAATTTAGTTTTTTAATAAATATATTTGGAGATAGAAATATTATATGTATTTTTTATAAATCGAGTTAAAGTTATTGGCACGTAAATCGTGACGATAAACATTTAGGGACAAATGGAGTAATTCATAGTTTCGGTGATTGAGCGAGAAATATGAGTACTTGTATACTTCGATGTTCAATTGTGGAGAACTCTAGATGATTGATTGGCTAGCTGTGACACGAGATGCTTAAACGTGTACTATTCTAAGTATTTGTGGAGAAATATTTATTTGTTGTTGTCTTAAAGTCTTGCGAATCTGACAAGAATATAGGACCGAAACAAAGCAGAACACAAAAAAGGACTTGGTTTGGCATTTTGGTTGACCTCGAGTAGGTGTTGTAGACTTTCGTTTTCCGTCTGAGATGACTTCGGTTGAGATGTCATGGCATGAAGTAGGCAGCTGCAACTTTGGTCGCCTACTATTCCCAGTCTAGCTAGGATTACTGGCATCTAAAGACAAGAAAGCGTGTGACCAGGCTGTCCACACGGCGCGCCACGTCGCCGGCCGTTCCTGGCCGTTCGATCGGCCGCATCGACGGTCCAGATCGGGCGAGGCGCGGTCATTTTACGAAAAACCCCTTATGTTTTTGGGAAATCAACCTGCGCTCTAGAGGCCCTCTCAGAATATTTTGCAAATAACACCTCAGATAATTTTCAAATCAACCCGCAGTCCAGAACGGATGAGCTCTAGATTTTTTACAAAAAAACCCTTCCTTTTATCAAAAATCAACCTGCACTCCAGAGACACTCTCAGCGATTTTTCCGAAAACCTCCTCAGATTTTTCTCAAATCGAAATACAGACCCTCCTTAATTATATCTTTTTTTTCCAAAAAATACGTGTGGCCAGTGGTCCCGCGCATATGGGCGCGCCCGAAGAACTAGTCGCCATCCTAGAAACGAAAGCAATCGAGCGATGACGAGTGCTTCCGAGATTAGGAGTAGCTGGCTAGGTTGTTTATATACATCGCGTGCTTCTCCAAACGACTGAATCAAAGGTGTTAGTGTGTCATCTCGGCATGATTAGTGGCCCCGTTCGGCCGCCTTTAAATTCGGCTTAGATCCACTTCTTTTTTATTCGAAACAGTGTTTTTCTCTCACAACATTTTATCCTAGCAGTGTTTTTCATCCAAATTCATCTATAATTCCTCCAGCCGAACGGAGCCGGTATTTTTGTAACCTTTATTTATATTGTGATGTGTAGGATTGGAACTACGTGTTTTTTATTATTATTTTGATCTTGAATGGTTTGACATGTTAGTTTTTCAGCGTTTGCTTTGCAGTTTTCTGGTTAAGAGTGGAGACATCCAGGGTAGTCTTCTCTTCATTCTTGTTTATACGCGTGTTACTGTTACATGGCCCTACACACAATGCTCTTCTCTTGTCAAGACTGGGACTGTTTGGATGATGCGTTTTTCGAAAACTGTAGTATTATAAAACTGTGGTTTTATAAGCCAAAGAGGCACAAAACCACGGTTCTAGAGACTACAAGATTTGTTGCATCTAAACATCTAGTAGCTTTTAAAAATCAAATTATTTTGTAAAACCATAGTATTTCTCTGACATTTAAAAATACTTTGTATCCAAACATAACCCGATTTGTCGCTGAAGTGCTTGTGTGAAAGCAAGCCCGGTTTCTGCGCTGCCCGTCGGCGGCCGGGGTGGTCGCTCATCGTCTTTTCCGTCGCATTCGGCTGTAAATTAAAACGACACACTTGGACTTGGGAAGTGTCGCCCAAATCCAAAAGATTCGATGTGGACACTCATGAATCTTCTTCAAGGGGTGCTTCCACACACTCTGAACACTTTTGAGATCGCCGAAAAATCCGTGGAGCCTAAAGAAAAGCACAGAGTGTGAAGGGTCAGCATCGAGTTGACCTCTGACCGGGTGCTGCAACTGCGAGCTACTAGTACCAAGTGTGCGCTGATGTGCAGACCGCCTGCAGGCATCGTGCCCTGCGTGGCAAGATCATATAGAGAGTTCATGTCACATAAAATGTTTAAATATTAATAAAGAGTATTAAATATAGATTAATTATAAAACCAATTATATAGATGGAGGCTAATTTTCAAGACGATTTTAAAGTCTAATTAATCTGTCATTAGCACATGTTCACTGTAGCACCACGTTGTCAAATCATGAACTAATTAGGTTTAAAAGATTCGTCTCGCAAATTAGTCGCAAGTTGTGTAATTAGTTTATATTTAATACTCCATGTATGTGTCTAAACATTCGATGTGACAGAAATTTTATGAGCGTATGTAAAAACCAAACAGGGCCATAATATATATGGTCTTTTTTTTTCTTTCTTAATATATAGTATATCCAGCCTCCTGCGAACATGCCTACTTTTTGTAAGATAAAGGAAACAAACGTTTTGGCCTCTGCACAACGCTTTAACAGCAATTGTGGGTTTGATTCCCCGCGAGAGCGAAGTTGGTTATTATAAAAAAATCCCTGTTAGAGAAGCCGCGGTCCGGAAGTTTGTTTGCTAGCAAAATTCTTCTATCTTATATTAGCAAATATCCTTAAAGAAGAGATCGTGTCCCACGCCGGGCCTGGCTGGTCGAGTGTTTTTAAATTTTTATACCTGGCTCTTAACCAAGCTAAGTGAAATGACAATGATGCACATCTAACTTGTGAGTTTGTTTGTTCTTTTATTATTACTAAGTAGACATGCACGTACGACACACACGTGTCTTTTAAAAATATTTTTTCACAAGAAAATAAATCAAAATTTTGAAAAAGTCAATTTCTACATCTTTTCGAATATAATTAACATGGGGTTAAAATTTCAAAACATGAGACTCTATAGTAAACTTTTTACCCACCTAAAAGACTCATTTCTACCTAAAATCTCATCTCTTGCATGTGTTTTGAAATTTTTTCCTTGAGCATAAACCTCAACCTGCAGCTGATCTTATCTTAAAAACACTTGTGCGCTTAAGGGTTTAGAGCTTCACTAGTGAATCGGCTTTTGTTAGCTTTAGTTGCATATGAGCGTCTCTTCTGGTGAAGCTGTTACTCTTTAAGAAAAATATTTGGTAGAACAACTTTCTTTATTGTTAAAATAAAATGTCCACAATATCTTTTCTTTTTTTCTTTCTATTTTTTTCTCCTCCGCCTTTTCTCTCTCCACCTTATCAATTTTCTTCCTCCACCACGTTGGTCTCTCTGCCTGGGTGGGACGCACGCGCCCCGGTAGGCGGTAGCTCGCACGTGGCTGCGCGGCCCGGCAGAGCCCCAATGGCGGCGGAGGCTGGCAGCTGTGCGGCCCGGCAATGGCTGCGCGGCCGGCGGCCTCGCGCCTGCGCAGCCGCCCCTCTCCAAGCCGGCATTGGGGCAAATCAGCCCATCCTAAGCCTCGGCGCACATAGAGTATCCAGGACCGGCAGAACATCACAATTTCTAGACCAGCCCTTTTCTCAAACCGCAAGCCTCCACGGACCGATCCGGACCACGGGAGTCCGCCCCAAAACGAAAAGGGAAATAAAAGAAGACGGCCGAACGCGACTTCGTCGACTTCATCGAAAAACCCTAGCTCTCCGATCAAAAAAAAAAAAAAAAAAGGAAAATCCTAGCTCTCTCCGCCTCCTGCCATGGCCATGGAGCACCTCCGGTGGCGCCCCACGGTGAACGAGCGCGACTTCATCGAGCGCGCGCTCCAGTCCGACCTCCGCGTCGACGGCCGCCACTCCTTCGACTTCCGCAAACTCGAGATAACCTTTGGCAGGTAACATCCGCCGCTCCCCTCGTCTTACCTATTCAGAGGCGGAGCTCCGTCTCCCCGATCCCCAATTCGGCGCCGGCCCTAGCTGTCTCGCTCGGTCGCGCCCGTTCCCCGGTCCCCTTCCGCATCGCGCCATCGCCGTGCCTCCCCTCCGCATCAGCCGCCGCCCGGCGCCCACCACGCCGCCGCTAGCGAGCTGCGCAGCGTAGGGGCGGGGGCGCAGCCCCGCAGGTAATGGAGGACGGATTGGGGGATGGTGGTGGCGAGCAGGTGAGCGGCGCTGACGCTGGCCGTGGGCGTGGCCATGTGGGAGGTCCTGGCGCCGGGAGCGAGCTTGAAGGAGAGTGCAGGAGTCGGCCGTCCGCCCCACCTAACTTTCCAGCCGAGCTCCGCCACTGTACCTATTCGGCTATTCCCAGCTCGCTTCCGCTCCTATGGGTTGAGATTCGCCCTCGTCCCTACCTGACAGCCCGCAATTTTATCTCGTTGCCACCGCGGCTTTGTTTTGCTTTGCTCTGGTGCGTTGCAATTTGGGCGTTTATTTGGCGAGTAGGTTTACATCCTTTATTGGTGGTGGTGTTGTTAACTTCAGGGAGGACGGCTCGTCGGAGGTGCAGCTCGGGGAGACGCACGTGATGGGCTACGTGACTGCTCAGCTGGTGCAGCCATACCGTGACAGGCCGAACGAGGGGACGTTGGCCATATTCACCGAGTTCTCACCCATGGCCGACCCAGCCTTCGAGCCTGGGCGTCCTGGGGAATCAGCAATTGAGCTTGGACGAGTCATCGACCGTGGCCTCAGGTCTCCTGATTCTTGGTTCTGTAATTTATCAGAAGGGGTTTAAGCGTGGAGCCTGATAATGTGAATTTTGTGTGTTTGTATTTTTTTTTCAGGGAGAGTCGAGCTGTTGACATGGAGTCCTTGTGTGTTGTTGCTGGGAAGCATGTCTGGTCTGTGCGTGTCGACCTTCACATCTTGGATAATGGAGGGTATGGGTTAACGAGTTATAGGTTGTTTGCTGATGTAATTAATTTGTAAACACTTGCAAGTTACAGTTCTAATCTTCTCCATTGTGATAGGAATCTCATTGATGCAGCTAACATCGCTGCATTGGCAGCTTTATCTACTTTCCGGAGGCCTGAATGCACGGTTGGTGGGGACGATGGTCAGCAAGTTACAGTGCATGATCCTGAGGTAGGCATACACTCTCAATGTGCTCTATTGTATATGGTGCTGCTAATATATCCCTCAAAGGTCATGCTCCGTTATAAATCAGTAGATTCACTACTTTACTATGTCCTTATGAGCTAATTTGTATGACTCCCATAATTTTCTGTAGTGTGCAACTGCAGTATTGGCCTAATGGTTGCTTTTTTGTCCTGCTTTGTTGACCACTGCAACTATCGTGTGTTCTGATTTGATGTATTTTACAGGTTAGGGATCCGCTTCCTCTTACAATACATCATATGCCCATAGCTGTAACATTTGCATATTTTGGTGAAGGCAACATCGTGGTATGTCTCAATATTTAAGATTGAAGTGTTCTTGACCAATTTTCATCAAAGTATTAGCATCGTCAGCTGAGTAACTGACCTTTTTGTGTAGGTTCTTGATCCCACATACAAGGAAGAAGCAGTAATGGGAGGGAGGATGACTGCTACAGTTAACTCAAATGGTGATGTTTGTGCCATCCAGAAAGCTGGTGGAGAGGGTGTCATGTCAAGTGTTATCATGCAGTGTTTAAGAATTGCTTCGGTAAAGGCTGCTGATATAACAAGCAAAATAAAGAAAGCAGTAAGTAAGCGCCATCAGATTGATGACTAGCTGAGGTGCCAATGTGTTGATATGGTTCTCAACAAAGTTCAAATCAAATCATGCATACGATGTAAAATAAGTTATAGTTAAGTTTGATGGGACTTTTGCATAAAGAGATTCTTTCTCTACCTACATAGGGATTCCATTGCATGTTTACTTAGCTGGAAAATGTTCGCCTATACTACATCAGCATTTGAAGCAGATTACTTTGCATATTTAACCTCAATAGAAATATTTTCCCTAATAGCAGTAGTTTCTCCACTCTATAGATACAGATACAGATGCAAATTTAGTGATGCAAACTACCAAAGCAATTACTGCAAAGGTTGATGCTCCAGAAGAGGACACAAATTACCTTATGATCAACTGGTTAGCGGCACTACATTATCTTACTCTACATTGGCAGGACCTGTGAGCCTGTGTAACCAAAAAAGAAAGCTGTGGAGAGAACGTTAGAATTAGCTTTTGGGTTTACATAGAGCTAGACGCACAAAGTAACAACAGTCCGATGAACAGCCACATGGACTGAATTCCATTGCCTGGAGGCCTAGAATGCATAGCTGTATTATTGGATCGCCATACATAAAACCAATGCACTCACATTTTCAACGCAATGAATATCATATGCAATTATTGGCTCTTTTATTGATTCTTCTGTCGGCTTGAAAATAAAAATGTCACTTGATTCATCCTTAAATTGAGCTAGACTGGATTGAAATAAATATTGCTGCCTCGTCTGAGCTAAATTAAGGCAGAAAGCTGGGTGGAGATGACTGAGGGGAAAGAGAGGTGTATCTCAGATTGACAGTAGTGGCACATACCTTCTCAGGGCAAGCCAGGTGCTATAGAATGATGAGGAGTAGAGGCAGGGAGCCACTGTGCTTAGGGTTACAAGAGGACGGCGGTGGTCAGCCTGCCCCGTGTCCGTGAGAGCCGTAAGAGAGCTCACAGGCATATGCGGCAACCCGCGCAGCACAACTAGCTTTTGCAGGCTTTGCGGCAGCCCACACAGTGCCACAAAGCTCATAACTGGAAAGCGCACGCCTAAAACAACACCTGCTTGCTGTCCACTAGTCACAAGACACAGAATAAGATAGCTAGCAGATTCACTCACATTAACTTCTTCTCAAACTTGCACAAATTTACAATCCATCTCACATACTTCAACAAAATCCTAAAAAAAACAGAAAATAAAAAACATGACAATGACATTTCTAGTGATAAATATGTTCTTATTTATTACAATAATAAAAATAAATTAAACTATTAAGTTATTTGTGTATCTAATGAGACAATATTTACATATTTTAAGCATCTGTAACATTAGTGATGTACATTTTCATCTCATTGTCTTCTTGGAAGTAGCCACCCCTGATTTAGAACATAATAGCAAGTTAGAAAACCTAGTTGTAAGGAAAAATATGGGGCAAACCCAACTAACCATGCAAACAAAAAGAGCTCCAAGTCTCTGCTAGCTTCATAGTTCATACTGAACTGCTGCTAATAGCTGAGACAAAAACAGTGCTAGATTAAATAAATAAACCTATAAGGCCAGTCTCAATGGGAGTTTCATGGCATTAAATGAGCTGACATGGCATGGAATAGATGAAGAGAGAGATGATAAAAGTTTCATGGGATGAAATGAGTTTCATGGGGATGAAACTCATCTACACTGTTTCCAACACATGAGTCTAGGAAACTGGGAGATGAAACTCCCCACTGAGACTGGCCTAACACAACGGCTAGACAAGTGCAACTTAATATTAAATTATGATATTGTTGCAAACCTTACTGGGTTCTCAAAAAATGTAGCGGTTGTGGTCGCCGCAGCAGGGGGCTGAGGTTGTCGCAGCAGCTCCAGCTCAGGCTGCAGTGGATCCGAAGGGCTACTGCAAGAAACAAGAGGAATCAGATTTGGTGCCCAGATGGAATGAATGAGGATGATGAATCACGCACAATCGCAACCAGAGGGCACAGCGACGGCGGCAAGGCTGAGGACGATGACTGGGTGCTGATCTGATGGCGAAGTGGTCGGAAGGCCTGTGCTAGGGTTCTCCATCATTGGGTTGCAGACGCTGGTTGCGGCGCCGCTGGGTTACGTGGGCTGGCCGCATAGCACTGCTAAAACTATGCCGGCCATAATGCGGGTTCTGGTGGGTTTGCAGCGCGCGCTGTCCCAGCGGACACGTGGCTCAACCCGTGCCTCTTGCATTCCTAACCGTGGTGGCTGGGGGATTGTCTTGGCAGTCATCCTGACCTCAAGCACTGGATGAATCTGATTTGTTGGGTGGGAGGAGGCCAGGAGGGTGAACAGCTGGTCGTAGGTTGTGCTGGATGAGGTGGTACTGGTGGGCCCACGTGTCGTGGTTGACTACTTTGTGAAAGGAGGGAGAAGGCCAGAAGGGATGTGAGGTTGTAGAACAGAGGATCCCGTTACTAACTGTACTTTTTAAGTAGCGAAGTTGTTGTAGTTTGCATGTCTTTGAATGTTTCGTGGATTGTGAAGCTATTCAGATTATGATTTTCATTCCATGTTGGCTTTGTATTTCATTATTAATCGTATGGCTGTATTCTGTTTCAGGTAGACTCATACACCACCGAGAAAGCTTTAAAGAAAGTAAAACGTTTACCAACCTCGGTTCCTCAGAAAATTAGCGTCACTGATGTAATTATGGAGGACAAAGGTGATGGTGAATTGGAAAAGCAAACTGTGGACGTTCAGCAGATAAGCAAAGGTGATGAGGACCATCAAAGTATAAAAAGGAATTCACCCTTGACTGGGGACCGAATTGCTAAACACAAACAAACATCAACATTCATTGGTGGCCCATCAAATTGGTAGTGGTTGGTCTGATGTTTTGTTTCCTAAGTTCTAGATATTTAGCATAAGCATTTGCTTGACACAAGTTTTTTGCCAACTGGTCCTGGTTTTTGCCATGTAGGGATCCATATTCTAAAGGAGTTTCATTAAGCTCCCTCAGAATTTCTGATTTGCCGGGTATAATTTTGTTTACATGTTATGGGTTTTCTTCTTGCTTGCTAACTCTCCATAACACCTCTCTGTGATGTACTTGGAGTCATTCTTTGGTTGGCATTTTTAATGCTCATTTATGATTAAATATCATCATTATGGCGTGTCATTCTCCCCTGTTTCTACTTTCTAGTCATGTTTTCATACAACTTTTTATAGGGCTGGTAGAAATAATTACACAAACTGAATCCTTCTAAATTCTGATGTCTATAATTCTGCCTCCTGCCACTCTAGAGTCATCCTTTAGTTTTCAGTCATTTTGATTTGACATGGAACTTGCTGTAATCTTTCTTGAAGAATACTTTGCTTGCCAAGATTGGTTCTCTCTCGTTTGGATCCACTTATTTGCTTCACATCATGCAGATCCGCCAACTATCGTCAAGGTCAGCAGCCACGAGGATGCCCAACCAATGACTGAATCATCTAATGCTGAGGTGAACACATCAAGTGCTGTGGCTGCTGGAGAGTCTGATGAGTCCCAGGAAATTGGATCGCCAAAGAGTCTAAAAGATGCTATCAAACCAAAGCATAAAAGAAAGAAGAAAAGTGACAAGAGTTAGTTTAGTTGCAAGCTTGTAGTTTCCTATGCCCCAGGTGAGTGGTTATTTGTGCTATTGTTATGTATTTTGTACGGGCATTCTTATTGATAAGTTTTTACTACTATATGCGCGTGGTGAATGTTATGTTGATTCTCGTGATGATTGCACATGCTACAATTGTATGTTATGACTACTGCGATGATGATTTTGCATTCCCCAAAATAAGCGCTGATTTTGTTCTGCAGGCACCTATCTGAACTCCTGATTGATGGGTCTTCATCCGGGGTGGCGTAGATTGGTTTTTGTGTTTTCAATCGTGACTGATGTTAGTAGTGGCCACAGGCAAATTTTTTACAAGCTGTAGAATTGTATTTTAGGAATGGTCCAGTTAAGCTTTCAGTCAACTTTGCAGTTGGTTCTGTGATGCATGATGCCCCAGTACATTCCATTGTTATATACTCGATACTACCGTTAATCCTCTATTGTCAGAAACGATTATGAGGATTGCCATATTGGACACGATGGACCATGAACTGTTAGTACTTCCGTTTTTTACATGTCAGTGTTAATTTTGTTCTAAGTCAAACATTAATATTTTTTACCACTGATTTTTTTTTAAAAATATCTAGATTCATGATATAAGATTTATATTATTGGATTCTATAAAGAATACTTTCATAATATTATAATTAATATGTCCTGAAGCTATAAAGTTTTTTCTTAAAAAATGGATAGTTAAAAATATGTCATGAAACTATAAGGATTTTTTAAATGGACGGTCAAAGATAGTAATATTTGACTTAGAACTGAGTTAATGTGACAAAAATGAAAGGAGGGAGTATATAAGAAAGCAGATCAATATTCTCCCATTAGAGCATCTTCAGCGGGAGCTCTAAAACGACGATCTCCACTTGCGCCAGGTGGCTTTGTCGTGAGATAATACGTGAGTACTGTGTCGGGTGGCTTCATCGTGAGATAATCTCGCTGCGGTTGAGAGCGATGGTTGCCATGTGAGGGAGGGAGCTACCAGGCTTCGGGGGAGGGGAGGGAGAGATAATACGTGAGAGGACCCGCGTCTGGTGGCTTCGCCATGGTGGGGGGCGGTGGCTACCATGCTAAGGAGGGAGCTTCCCAGGCTTCTGGGGTGGGGGTGGGGGGGAGTCGGGTCGGTCGGGGTGACCTCGCCGGAGAGGAGAGGGAGTCGGCCAGGACGGCCTTGACTCGGGAGGAGGCGACGCCAGCGTAGAGGGATAGGTTCGTGGGCGCCTGAAGCTAAGCCCCCAGGAACGAGGGGTGGAGGAAGGATTTGGATGCTCACCCAAAGTTAAGGGGCTGCTAGAACATAGTTTTTGTTCAGGTTACTCATACTTAGCTATGGATACATAAGGCTGTGCTAGAGATGCTCTTATACTGCATTAGTTATTGGAGTATTTGACAGCCCCAGCTTGTCATCCGAAGCTGATCAGACGGAAGGATCTGAAGTTAAGAGAGGTGAGTACGGACTGCCCCTAGGACATGTTGGGAACATGGGATTCCTTCGTGAATGCTATGTTTTTTCCTATAAAATTATTCTAATTTCGTAAAATTCCTGTACGAGTTATACGATAGTCTTGAATACACGAGGAAACAAAAGGAACAGAAAACACACGAATTGTGTAAGGATAGGAAGAACGGAGCTTTTAGATCTTAGGGTCCATCCCCTCCTATTAAGAAATCTTGTTTTGTTTCCCACATATTAACAAATCTTGTTTAGTTTTCATCCCCTCCCACTTCTCATATATGACACGATATTCCCTCTTCATCCGATCGACTCTCCCTGGTCAAAAGCAACGGCGAGCTGGCTAGCTATTCAGAAGCAGTTGGATAAGGGCATCTACAACGGTGACTCATAGTATCTCCGAGGGCCTTTTCAAATCTTATTTTTTAAATTATTATTTGAAAAGTCATTTGCATAAAAATCGTTTTCTATATCTTTTCACTCTCTAACAAATTTTCTATATCTCATGCGCACTCTAGAGAGTCATTCTCGTCTTTTATTTTTGGCTAGCGAAAAATCCAGAATAGAAGATAGCTATATTTGGATAATCATTTAGACAAGTTGTTGGAGGATACTTTTCACCAAAATCTCTATTCCTAACATTTAGAAATGATTTAAAGAGTCTCTTAGAGTTGTTCTCATAAGCTAGCTCTAAATATTTTTTTATATTTTAACGAAGAGAGAGAAAAGCTACCTCTTGGTCAAGAGCTAGACTCATAGACATATTCCAAGATCATAGGAGGGTGTCATGTGAGACCATCTATGTTATAAGCTATATGCTAAAAGTTAACACTATTAAAGAAATTAACTTAGAGCTGGTAATTAGCTTATATCATCGCGAGTGCTCTAAGTGACAGATTTATATTCCTCTCTTTCCAAGGAGGCATTGATGGGTTGATATAGCCTATAAAGAATGAGCTGATCCAATTCCTGCAAAATAGGTAGGGGAATTGAACTGAAATCTCCAACTCGCGCCAATCCGATTGGTTTTTAAGGATAAACTAGCAAAGTGCCGGTTTTGCTGCTTGTGGACAAACAGTAATAGACTGCTGGGTTTTTTTAGATAAAGTAGACTGCCGGTTACAGATTGCATTCTAAAGCCACAACAACTAATCTTGAACTATTTGATCATTTGCCTTATGTTACCAATGAGTAGTCGAGACCTTGAAAGCATAAATACAAAAATAAAATGTGCAACAATAGAAATTGTGTTGTGATGTCAAAACAAAGACATGGCGTGGATGAATATTTCAGACCAGGTAGAAATGTTTTCAAAGAGTACTACAAAGAAAATATATTCCAGTTGAAGGAGTAACCGATCCTAAAGACAAAATAAGGAGTGGAGGAAAATTAGCAATATGGAAGTTTAAAACCTAATAAAGACACCAAAAAGAACCATGAAGGAGCAACTGAGCAAACATATTTACACGACAGAGAAAGGAAACCGATCTTTGGTGTGAAAAACATCAAACTATTTCACTCGTCATTTGTAACACATAAGTTCTATTTTAGGGGCATGCAACGCAAGAGGTTAAACGGCAGTAAACATATAGAGTATCTAAATTGGGGCGCCTGCAGACATTAAACGAAACAATACAAAATTAGGATCCAGCTTCTTCTGCCATCTCCCAGAATAGATAACATGAACTCATCAGCACCTGAGGGTTTTCTGCAAGAGTAAGATGAAGCTCAGGAGTCAGAACTCAAGTTCAATTGACTTGGACATTCTTTTTATGGAGTGACGCACATGTTCTTGGTACAACAAAAGGAGGCACTTTGGCCAACAAACAGATTTGAATCAATAGAATTGTTAATACTACAAAGGAGATTTCAGGAAAGAAGATACTGCTGCACAATTGTAATCTGTTAGCTGAAAATCTAATTATGCAATTGAGCAAATGTTAGATATACCCAACGGCAGCAGCCTAATATATATGTAAAAAAATCTGAGATTATGGACACAGATATATATGGTACTAATGTTACAGCCTGTGAAGAATGCAGCTTTAGCTCTAAGCACACTTTGTTTTACATAAACCTGATGGTTGATTTTTAAGACGTTCACATGATATTTTTAAAGGGGAACTAAATGATTACTAAATACATTAGCCATGTAAATTAACTCAACGAAATCATGCTGCAGAGAGGTTGCAGCCAAACATGACAAATACTGCAGCATTGGCAAAACTTTTAGTCGTGCCTGACCAATCGGCAAAAAAATCTGGTGAAGCACTTTCATATCATTATGTCATTATGGCCATGATTTCATTACATTCTGGTCATATATACTCCAATGCAAGAATAGGAAGGGATTTAAAAATAAGATGTTTATCTGCGGTAGGAAGGAAGTGATGGTCATCTACCTTTTCAGCCTGGCCGCAAACAGCACTCTGCTCACTATGTCCTTACTTACAGGTACTGAAGAAGCAAACTGAAATTTAGAAAAGGATAATGTATAATCAAATACTAAAACTGAAATCAGATATTTCATATATATATATAAACTGAAGCAAGGGTCTAACTTGCAGCTAGAGAGGCTACCATTATATTTTTGCAGTGTACAGTAATTTACATGCTACCATGTGGGTGAGGACATGATTACTTTAGAAGAATCAACAAAAAGAATACTTACAGAAGCAATCACTTATTTTAGTAGGGCTAGTACCCACAGAGGTAGAATATCTAAGGCACATTTATTAATATAAGTAGGATTAAGTCCACTTTTGGCCCCTCAACTCTCATGTCGGTCTAATTTTGACCCTCAAGTACAAAACCGTCTGGTTTGGGCACCAGAACTTTCAAACCCGTTCAGTTTAAGCCCCTCGGCGCGATTGAGGCGGTTTGCGCTGACGTGTTCCCGGTTTCGACTGGCCACGCTGGCGTTGACGGACACACGTAGGATCACCGCGTGGGTCAAAACACGAGCCGGCCCGCTCAGCTCTGTCTCTTCGTCTCAGTTCCTCTCCCCCGAACCCTAGACGCCGCCGCCGTTTCCAGCGCCACCGCCGCCGCCTCCATCGCCGTAGCCGCCATCACATCCTCTCCTCCGGTGCCTCCGCGTCCGTAGTCTCCCCTCCGCCTTCGCAGTCATATGGGCTTGGAGGATTGAAACGAACACGCTCAGGTACGATTGAATCCTTCTGCATTTCTGGATGTAGGGATGGAAGTACTTTTAGGTTAGTTACCTCGGATCCGTAGTGCTAAGACTGTACTATCTGTTGTAGGAATGGACCCTTTGGAATTTCTTTGTGTTCGATTTCACTTTGGTGGTGAGTTTTTCAATGATGGGAAGAAGCTTCATTATCTAGGTGGAAATGAGGAGATGTGATTCATCGAGCGTGACAAAATATCTTTGCCTGAATGAATTGGACATCTTAAAGACCATTACAATGCTTCAGAGCCTGTTCTTCTCCATTGGTTGTTCCCTGGCAAGGATTTACTGAATGGGCTTAGAGTTTTGGTAGATGACAAGGCTTGTTTGGAC